TTTTTTTTTTTTTTAGTAGAGACGGGGTCTCACTCTTGTTCAGGCTGGTCTCGAACTCCTGAGATCAAATGATCCTCCCGCCCGCCTCAGCCTCCCAGAGTGCTAGGATTACAGGTGTGAGCCACCGTGCCAGGCCAGGATTCCTAGTTCAAGAGCATGCTCTTTTGTCAGTTATATTGAAGCACAGTTTATTTATTTACAAAAAAAGCATTTGTGAGTGAAAATTAATTTATCCTCCAATATTGTAGTTCTCTTTTGCCTTGAAGGACTCTTGCCTTTTTTCCCCTTCATCACTCAGTCTCCAAAGTGTACCTCTCCCGAAGAAATGATGCTTTTCCTAGACTACCACCTTGGATTCTACATACTTTAAGGTTCCTTCTTCGTAGTGTTAGGTTCTCCCAGTGTTTTTGTTTTTGTTTTTTTGTGGGTTTTTTTTTGGTGGTGGTTATTATTTTTTAAGTATTTGCACTAAGAGTGGACTTTCTCTTTCAGGAGTGATTTTTGTCACCATTAGGCTCTCAGCTTTCCTCTTGTCTGTGTAGTCATTTTGAACTGCCCCAACTCTCTGTAAAGACTTCTGGCAGGAGCTCAGGAAATATCTTTGCTGGAATTTGGTATTTATTTTTCTACTTACAAGTAATTCAAAGTTAGTAATAGTCTCTCTTCCAGTAATGTAGAAGGTGTGGGTTATGTGTGTTTTATTGGCTCTTCTTATTGCACTGTATAGTGTTTTAGAGGCTATGTAAATTGTTTCAAATTTAGTGATCGCCATTTTCTTAGCGATACTTGGAAATATGTATCATCGGTTAAGTACTTTTTCAGAATCAAAATAGAAGTAGTCTAACACAGAATTGCTTTTATTTGTTACATTTAGATCAAATTATGTTTTTTATTTGCTTGGTTAAGGTTAGTTTTATTTTATTAGTTGTATGAACAGGTAGTTTGCAACTTTTGAATACCTTATGTCTCAAAATATTACTTGTTAACTATTCCTCGTGTTATGTTGGAAGATGCGTTAGGCTTGGAATCATGTGACTAAACCTTTGGATATTTACAACATAGATAATCTGTGGGTCTTTATTTCCTCAGTTGTAAAATATGACTGGTAGAACATATGATTTCTAAGGTGCCTTCTGGTTTGAAAATGTCTATGAATATATGCTTCTGTGAGCACTAAATAGATTTCTTATAGAGATGATATTATACGTTATAAGTAAGTTTCTAATCCAATCCTCAAAAGCCTCTACTGGGTCATTGATTTTTCTGGAGATCAGTGCATTTGAGGAAGGAGAAGTGATTGCAAGTGTTTTCTTC